ACATATATATATATCTAATATACAACACACACTCTCTCTCACTCTCTCGCTCTCTCTCTCTCCCTCTCGCACACACCCACACTCACTCACTCACTCACTCTTTCACTCACTCAATCACTCCCCCCCTCACTCACTCACTCACTCACTCACTCACTTACTCACTCACTCACCTCTTCTAACTTGGATAGCCACAGCATCTTCTTCTTCATCTCCGCACTCTTCACTTGATCTGTGAGTTGAAATGGGCAACACAGACCATCAACCATCAACCGAGTGCACGAGACACAGAGCACAACAGCAGGTACCAAATGGGCCGTAATTATGACAACACGTATACAGTATGTCGGAAATAGGCAACACAATAGGTCGTGATTATGACACACATGACACAACAGCAGGTACCAAATGGGTCGTAATTATGACAACACGTACACAGTATGTCGTAAATAGACAACATAATAGGTCGTAATAGGTCGTAAATAGACAACATGATATGTCGTAATCAGGTATCATTTATACACCAACCCTAAACTCTAAGGGGGGTGTGTGTGAGGTCCACATAACCACTGGACATTGCTTATAAACCAGACGAGCCAGCCATGACCAGAGTGTCTTATCTGCAGTGACAGCACAGGCGACTACAGAATGGGCGACCGTCAGCAAATGTCATACCGCCATGATAGATGGCCTTAAACCCCAAACCCTACATCGGGGTTTGATACGTATAGTGAAGTAGTCGAGCACGTGTACAGTGCTAGTACCAGTGCATGTGACATCACTTGACAGAGACACATGCGTGACTGTGGTCGCACTCATAGTGACCTACGGGGCAGCACTCACCCCACTGCACTGGTAGCTACGTCACACTGCACTGGCAACTACATCGCACTGCACTGGCAACTACGTCACACTGCACTGGCAACTACGTCACACTGCACTGGCAACTGCGTCACACTGCACTGGTAACTACATCACACTGCACTGGTAACTACGTCACACTGCACTAGTAACTACGTCACACTGCACTGGTAACTACATCACACTGCACTGGTAACTACGTCACACTACTGCGTCCTGCCCATACCTCCAGCCGTCCATGCGATGATCATTGCGCTGAGCAGATCGACTATGAACAGCGCAATGGGATCGTGTGGTGTTCCCATGGCCGTGACGTACACATTGAGCAACCGCAGCAGAGTCTCCAGCCACACGTCACATCTCTGTTAAACCAGGTTTATGGAACGGGGTAAACCGGGTTTTTTTGTGGAAGAATTGTGTATACAAACGCCATGTGGTCGTGTGGCGCGCGCGTTGCCGAGATGTAAGATCTTCACCCACATGATACACTCCTTACGCACACAGCCTCTGCGGGTGCGAACTAGACTACGAGACCTATACTAGCCACCAGTAGCCGCTCAGATAATTCCTATCGTGATATAGCTGTTGTGATTCGATGAATACAATATGATAATCAAGCTGAACCCTTAAACCCCTACTAAAAACCCTAAACCCCTATAAGAACCCTAAACCCCTATAAAAACCCTAAACTCCTAAACCACTATAAAACCCCTAAACCCATAAGCCCCTATAAAAACCCTAAACCTCTAAACCCCTATAAAAACTCTACACCCCTAAACCCTAATGGCTCCGTACACCACCACCACTGACGTTGACGTACCTTTTTCACGGCGTGTTTCATCAGTATCGATAGTATCTGCAACCGCAATAACAATCCCGTGTGGATGCGGAAATTGCTGATCATACGCCCGTCAGAACACTCACCCCCAGCCTCTCTGTGGTTGCCATGGCCACCAGCCCTGGCATTGCATTGGCTGCTATTAATAGAACTGCCCCCTCCGCGGTGCGCCGGTGCTATATTATTACTACTGGTACTACTACCTTTCGATGGCTGTGCACTGTTTCTGTATCGCCTGTCTCTGTCCGATAGAGTGTGCTGAGACATCGCGGTGTTGCTAGGTGAGTGCGACGCCCATCCCACAGGCGACGGTATAAGCTGATATGCATTGGGGAATCATTTGTTCTATTTTTAGAATCAATTGTATATGCTGATATGCATTGGGGAATCATTTGTTCTATTTTTAGAATCAATTGTATGTGCTGATACGTATTGGGGAATCATTTATTCTTATTTTTAGAATCGATCGCATATCCTACCGTGTATTGGGTAATCATTTGTTCTATTTTTAGAATCAATCGCATTTGCCGATATGTATTGAGGAATCATTTGTTCTATTTTTAGAACTGTATACGGGCAAGATTATTGGTCTCGATCTTCAATACGTGAATGTTTCAGGACAATAGCAGTAGAAATTCAAAATTAAGGCCCCAGAAGGAAGGTAATTCGAGTCAGAAAAATCAGGATCGGCACTTTTAATTCAGGTAGATAATCGGAGAATAAAAAGAACAAATACACGATGCAGGCAAAGCATGAGACAGGTGAGCGCAATCTGAACCCTCGAAACCAAATTATAGAGAAGAGGGTTTTAACGTAAGCGGATATGCATGTGAGACAGTGCTTGAGCGAACTACTGACAAGGCAACAAAGCCCAACGTAAACGGATACGCATGTGAGACAGTGCTTGAGCGAACTACTGACAAGTCAACAAAGCTCAACGTAAACGGATACGCATGTGAGACAGTGCTCGAACGAACTACTGACAAGGCAACAAACGCGTTCTGCTCACCGCTTCGGCCTTGATGAAGTCTTTGAACTGGCTCAGCAGATTGGCCACAAAGCGATCGCACCAACTCTCGTCTGAACTCGTCACAGACATGCGATGGATCACCGGCACTATCAGCCGCGCAATGTGCACCTGCAGCAACCGGCCCCACCCTGCAGTGGAGGATACGGAGCTTAGATGGGCTATAAATAGATTCTATAAATAGAATGATATATAACGCATGTGTGTCGTGGTAGTAGCGCACTGTCTGTACGTCTGCAGTAACCGACTGCGCTCCCAAGTGACCGAACAAAAAGGTTTGTGATCGAATCAACGGAATCAGAGAACCTTGAATACCCTCAAACGCTCTAGTCGTGTGACTAGCTCAGGTGTACAGTTACAGTACAATACCTCGCTAACGGGACATCATACAGCTTACACAGAGACAGCGCCTCACACAGATACACAAAAGACTCGCGGTGTATGTGTGAATCACACACGTGACGGCACAGGGCCATGGCCATGGAGGCTGTGTAGGTGAGTCACAAGCGGTAGCTGTACCTACGTTGCGTCCACCCACAACACTTACGAATGGCGTCGCTGTCCATGAGATTAGGCGATGGTTCGTTCGGCTGTTTGGCACTGTTCATGGCTCCCCCACCCGGGGTGATTGGCTGCGGCGTGCCCACTTTAACATTCGCTTCATTTGATTGGTCCCCGTGATTGTTGACGTCACTGGTATTTGATTGGTTCTGTGTGGGTGTGGGAAACTGTTCGTGGAAAGGCAGCGCCCACCAATTCTCCGTTGCTAGGATACGCGCGGCCTCAACAACGGCACGTCTTTGCACCTGCAGTGGCGTAGATGATCGAAAAAGTAATAGAGACGATAACCGATTAGATCCTTCACAAATATTCCTACATGGTTATGAGATGCTGTACCTACTACCAAATATACCTACATGGTTATGAGATGATGTACCTACAATCATAATATACCTACATGGTTATGAGATTATGTACCTACAATCATCTAACCATTCTACCAACCAATGAGACAGCTGTGTCTACATTCAACCATAGGATAGGCACGCACGTGTGCGTGAATGTGCGTGTACATTGCCCTTGTCGCAAACACCTATGATGCACCACAACCAACAGATGCGATACAAAAGTATACTTCAGCAACACACATGCACACATACACACAGACACACGCATACACACATACACACATACACACACATATACACACATGTGATAGCAACACACATACGCACACATACACAACCAATATAACAGACTATATAAACAGGTACAGAGATCCAGCACAAACACAACTAAGCTCACACCCACCTGTTCTGTCAGGCAGAGGGAGAAGGTGGTGGTGAGGTCGTTAAAGCCCACTGTGCGTGTGACAAGGGAGTTCTCCTTGGACAGCATCAGCAGCTTAGCAAACAGCCACCGGACAATCAACAGGTCAATGTCTACCACCGTCCCCTGAGATGAGTGACGCAGCAAGGAAGTGTGAGTAAACGTACTCAGGGTTGCGAAAACGTAATCAGGCGAAACCGTCTCCTGTGATGAAAGATACACAGACAGGTGTGAGTGAACGTACGCAGGGTTGAGAAAACGTAATCGAGTGATACCAATACGCACCGCATACACGTGTGACAAGAAGTGGATGACCAGTGTGGCCAAAGACAGTACTATGCTTCAGAGTAGAAAACGTACTATTACTCGCATCCCAGAGTGCAAACCGTATCGTGCGAAGAATATGGACAGACGAAATAGACCGAAAACCCGAAACAAGGGTGCAAGTGTCAATAGTATCAGCAACCGCATCCCATTTCGCCGCACCACCCGCTGAACCGAGCACACCAGTGAGTCCTAGTCACAGATATGGGCAGACGAAATAGACACACAACAACCATGATGCACACGTTAACAGCAGGTTTTACAGACAGATTCACCGTTTATACGATACATTCAGCTGAGTGGTACTATCCGTTTGTACTATACATTCAGCTGAGTGGTACTATCTGTTTGTACTATGCATTCAGCTGAGTGGTACTATCTGTTTGTACTATGCATTCAGCTGAGTGGTACAATTCGTTTGTACTATACATTCAGCTGAGTGGTACTATCCGTTTGTACTATACATTCAGCTGAGTGGTACTATCCGTTTGTACTATGCATTCAACTGAGTGGTACTATCCGTTTGTACTATGCATTCAGCTGAGTGGTACTATCCGTTTGTACTAAATATTCAGCTGAGTGGTACTATCCGTTTGTACTGTACATTCAGCTGAGTGGTACTATCTGTTTGTACTATGCATTCATCTGAGTGGTACTATCTGTGTGTACTATGCATTCAGCT